TAATCTGTATATATGTGAGGCAATTTCTACTATGCTCCACTACGGCCAAAACCCATAGTTCAGATCTGTGCTGTTTACAAATGGGGCTTCTGAAGCAAGGTAGAAGATCAGATTTTCTGTTCTGTTTCTGTCTATGAAAATGATTTTACTAGTGACAAGTAAGCTCCAAATTAGGCTTATGAAAAATTACTGTCCCAGATATATGTCAATAGGGACAAAGTAACATCATGCAATTATCTTTAGAACGGCAAAAACAAATTTCGAAAAAACGGTGATAATTGGCAATATCGGAACAATGTACCTACCAATTTAATGCAGAAATAATGGATTTCTTTTTACTCTATTTTGATAAGTAGTTTAGTCTCGTCCTTATAATACAACAATATCTCGATTATGCACTTGCCTAAGAGAAGCAACCCTGCCGAAACTGCTTGGAGCCGAGTTCATAATGCTCCTTAACTGGGGGCATATAGGTCTTAGGCAAGTGTTTGATGGAGGACATCAAGAGCCATCCTGTTTTTGTGCGGATTGCAGTGTTCTGACACATCTATAGCTTCCTCGTCAGCGTTTCACTGCATCCAGCTATGATGTAGTTAAGGACCGGCCGACCGATTGCTTTTTATGTCGCCAACAACGTTACTTTGTCTTTTCCCCGTGTGCTCCCGGCTGGCGACTTCAAGATTTCGTTGCGGCTTTGTACTCTGGCAGTAATCGCAGTCGTGCGCTGGCTGTCGAATGTCACACCTAAAATCTTTGAGTTATTGACAGTCGAAGTTTTAACACCGTCGACTGCAATATTAAGACCAAGCCTCTAATCCTTCGTGCAGTTAGTGAATAAGGTCGTTGTAGATTTATTTGGGGAGTGTGTTATATTTCATGCAGCGAGAAAGTGAGAAAGTTCGGAGAGATAGCCTTTTACTTTTGAGCAGATACTACCACCCTGCGGAGCCCCCTGTTTAATTCTTCACAATTTATAGTTTTTATTTCAAAACAGTACGGATGATTGTCGTCCGCTCAGGTAGTTCATAGTCCACCGCTTTATTCCTGGAGGGAGCGTAGATTTTTAAATCTCCTCAAGTAGACTGATTGTGTCAAAAGATTTTGACAAGCCCAACGCTATGAGGGTCGCCCTTTCGCAAGGAGGTTTTTAGTTGAGACCATGAACTATCTGGGCGTTTATGACGTGCTGTGTTGGTGCTGTACACTTTTCGGAAACAATGATTGTGATTTGCTAGAGTCTGGTGATGTGTGAGGGTCGGGAGTACCAACGCCTATTGTGTTTTCACTACTGGGGAGAGGAGAGTCATCGGAAGTTAGGACTCCCCTTTGTTGGCGGGATTTCCACGTTTTAGTAGTGGGACCACTCTTCCGATTTTCCACACATCGGGTATTTGAAGAGTGGTCGGCGGCAGGTTGAAGACCTTGGTGAGGAGCCAATGGATTATTGATGACACTCTGCAAAGTAAGTGATGCGCATGTCGATCGATAATACTCGTCCACACGATTTTTTATTTTTGTTTCAAGTATAGAATTTTTTTCGTATTTATTTTATATTCGATGTTTTATACCAATAAACTGAAAAATTTTAAAGGTAATGTTTTTTATTAAATTCTAAGTTCCATATTCTATTTCACAGCAATTATATTTAAATCATTAATATTTCCTTGTATTTTTGTTCTTGCATTTAGACAAAATTGTGATACCAGAGAAAATCGCTATACGCCTACTCAATTCATCGGAAGTCACCGCCGAACAATTCTACAAACACATACTCGAACAATATCGCATACTCAATCAGTTGCAACAGCAGCGACAACAATTTCTACAAAAACAACATATTCATCTACAACAACTGGCTGCCGCCAACAAATTTCAAGAAATCTTTGCCACAGCGACAATAATACAAGCGAATGCCAGAGATCCGTTACGTAAGCCGATTACACCAACAAATGGCACCTTCCTGCTGGATCCATCACAACCCATAGTGAATAGCCTCGAACCGCGTATACCGATATTGGATACTGCGCAAGCGCCCATACCTGTGCTGGCACCCGCATCAGCGCTAGCAACGGCGCTCTCCTCATCGTCGTCGTCGTCATCGTCGGCAGCATTGGCCGCGGCTAGCGCGACTAACGGCCATACCAAACGTAAATCGCATCGCAAACACTACAACAACAATAGTCATCATCGGCATACTTCGCGTAAAAATCATCGAAAATCCACCGCTGTCACGGGTAACGGTAACAACAATGCGGACAACAATAATAATAACAGCAACAACGATTACGAACCCGAACCATTTGTAGTGGAAACGCCACCCATGAACCCGCCCATCTTGTCTGTGGTGCAAGAGCCCTACACCCAGCTGCCCATACCGTTGGTGTTGAATTCGCGCGAAGACAAACGTCCGTTATATTATACGCATAGCGAGCGTAGGGGCGGCAGCGGCGGTGCGCGCAAGCGTACGGGCTACGAGACGCAAACCTACATGAATCCACTGCTGACCGGCGAACTTATATTCGAAAAATAAAGGGTGCAGAGCGAATGAGGAATTCGAAAAATTGTTAAATTAAGAGAAATGAAATGTAGACGTGAAGCAGAGTGAGGTTAGGAAGAACTCATATTTTTACTTTAGCGGAAGGCAGTGTTAGGGCTTGCGGAGCAGAACGAAAACATGTGTAAAGCAAGAAACAATGTATGGTATTTGGTAGGGAAAACCGCAAACTATGTCATAATTGGCTCATATCATAGGTAAACAACAATTTCAACAACAACAACAATAACAACAACAGCAAAAATACTGCCACTATTGCCGCCCCCCAAAAAAGCAATGACTGCAACGGCAGCAGAAAAACGCTTACAAAGCGCATTTCTGCTGCGACTGCGGCTACAACAACAACACTTAACTATGGAAAAACAGAAAACAATAAGCAAAGAGGAAACAACAAACAAACTAGAGCATATATAGCAAATTTTTGAATGTGTAGCGATTAGCGAAAAAACCAAAAAAACCTGAATAATGAAATATCTAAAAAAAAATATAACAACAAAAATAGCAACAACAAAATCTTATATATCCGTATACCCAACAACCAAAATACACTTGTAATCGTCTGTATGTACTGTTTATACTCGTATTGTATGTTTATATATATATAATCGGAGCAAAAAAATTAAATAAATAAACCTTCCCGCCTATACACCAAATTCACACTCTATACACCACTTTATATAACTGGTCATATGGTTCGTAGCACATTTCGGCAGCATAAAAACACATGTATGCATAGAGGCGCAATAAAGCACATAAAACGCATTGAAATGCACGAAAACGCATATAAACGCATGAAAACGCATAAAATGCATTAAAAAGCATATAAACGCATATAAACGCATGAGAACGCATTTATTCTTCAACACCAACGGCACCACCACAACCACTCGCTATCAATTTTTCACACACTTCGTCTTCAGTCACACACACACTCACTTAGCCACTTTTTCAAACGCCATGTTCACCGCCACTTTCCCACTCACACACATACACGCGCGCATTTACTAGTGAAGAATTTAATCACCAAATCAAATCAAGTACACCACCAACAATAATAAAAAGTAAAAACAATAACAAAAATGAAAAACAAAAACAAACGAAATATAAAACCAAAASCGAAAGATCAAATAGCATAGATCTTATATATGTATGTATATCAAACAAATGTATGTATGTCTTGTTGAATTACAAAGTTAGAGAAGCCGGCCTTAAACAAAGGCTTAAAAGCCAAAGCGGCCAAAGTAGAGAGGGAGAACGCAAAAAAATGTAAGCAATAAATGAATGTTTTCAGAAATCCTGCAACAAAGAGCAAAGCACATGAAAAAAATAAACAAAGTTTGAAAGGAATCGCCTAGGTCCAGCCGAAAGCACTCATATGTTGCTGCATACATTTAGAACTACACTCTATGTATATGTATGTGTATGTTAGGCATTTGGAAAGCGATTGTGTGAACTGCAAATGAAGGCCTTTACTTTGACATCAAAGACTTGCAGTTGGCAAATAAGCGGATTGAAATGATAATAAAGATAAGAAGACCACTACCACTGCTGTGTCTGTAGTACGTCGTCGTAAATAATATTATATACTTACTTGAAAAGGCGAATAAAATAAATAAACAATAATTAAAACTAAGTTGAACGAAAAATGTGAAATAAATAATAAAAACAAAAAAACTGTAATAAAATAAAGAGATTTTTTGCTTATTCATAATTTCAAGTTGAAAAGGCAACACTAGCGCGAAGTGGTAAGAACAGTTACGAGTGGGTTATATAAAATGCTTATAAGCAAACAAGCTGCGACTGAGTGTAGGCTTATATTTATTATTTGTTTATTTTATACTTATTAATTGGTTTTATCACACTTTTTTAATCTAAATTTTATTTTATTTATTTTTTTAATTTTTCCTATATTTATCAATGAATAATTATTATATTTTTA